TAGGCTCTTCGCACTCTGGGAGGAGGACACAGCGGAGTTGTCAACCGTGATGGCGAGATCATGGAACGGGCAGTCCTTCCCCGGGAGGAAGAGCAGCTCCGTCTTGCCAGGGTTCAGCTTGAGGTGGTGATCCGTCATCCATACTGATATGTCTGCCAGACATGCAGAGATGCGATTCGCCACCTGGTTATCAGAAGGGGGAAAGGAGAAGATTAATTGTGTATCGTCAGCGTAGCAATGATATGAAAGGCCATGTGAGGATATGACAGAGCCAAGTGACTTGGTGTATAGGGAGAAAAGGAGAGGGCCTAGAACTGAGCCCTGGGGGACACCAGTGGTGAGAGCACGTGGTGCGGAGACAGCTTCTCGCCACGCCACTTGGTAGGAGCGACCGGTCAGGTAGGACGCAATCCAGGAGTGAGCCGCGCCGGAAATGCCCAGCTCGGAGAGGGTGGAGAGGAGGATCTGATGGTTCACAGTATCAAAGGCAGCAGACAGGTCTAGAAGGACAAGAGCAGAGGAGAGAGAGTTAGCTTTAGCAGTGCGGAGAGTCTCCGTGACACAGAGAAGAGCAGTCTCAGTTGAATGACCAGTCCTGAAACCTGATTGGTTTGGATCAAGAAGGTCATTCTGAGAGAGATAGCAAGAGAGTTGGCTAAAGACGGCACGCTCAATAGTTTTGGAAAGAAAAGAAAGAAGGGATACTGGTCTGTAGTTGTTGACATCAGTGGGGTCGAGTGTTGGTTTTTTGAGAAGGGGAGCAACTCTCGCTCTCTTGAAGACGGAAGGGACATGGCCAGCGGTCAAGGATGAGTTGATCAGCGAGGTGAGGTAGGGGAGAAGGTCACCGGAGATGGTCTGGAGAAGGGAGGAGGGGATGGGGTCAAGCGGGCAGGTTGTTGGGCGGCCTGCAGTCACAAGTCGCAGGATTTTATCTGGAGAGAGAGGGGAGAAAGAAGTCAAAGCATAGGGTAGGGCAGTGTGAGCAGGACCAGCAGTGTCATTAGACTTAACAAACGAGGATCGGATGTCGTCAACCTTCTTTTCAAAGTGGTTGACAAAGTCATCCACAGAGAGAGAGGAGGGGGGGGGGGGGGGGGATTCAGGAGGGAGGAAAATGTGGCAAAGAGCTGCCTAGGGTTAGAGGCAGATGCTTGGAATTTAGAGTGGTAGAAGGTGGCTTTAGCAGCAGAAACAGATGAAGAAAATGTAGAGAGGAGGGAGTGAAAAGATGCCAGGTCGGCAGGGAGTTTAGTTTTCTTCCATTTCCGCTCCGCTGCCCGGAGCTCTGTTCTGTGAGCTCGCAATGAGTCATCAAGCCACGGAGCTGGAGGGGAGGACCGAGCCGGCCGGGAGGATAGGGGACACAGAGAGTCAAAGGATGCAGAAAGGGAGGAGAGGAGGGTTGAGGAGGCAGAATCAGGAGATTGGAGGGAGAAGGATTGAGCAGAGGGAAGAGATGATAGGATGGAAGAGGAGAGAGTAGTGGGAGAGAGAGAGTGAAGGTTGCGGCGGCGCATTACCATCTGTGTAGGGGCAGAGTGAGTAGTGTGGGAGGAGAGCGAGAGAGAAAAGGAAACAAAGTAGTGGTCGGAGACATGGAGGGGAGTTGCAGTGAGATTAGTAGAGGAGCAGCATCTAGTGAAGATGAGGTCAAGCGTATTGCCTGCCTTGTGAGTAGGGGGGGACGGTGAGAGGGTGAGGTCAAAAGAGGAGAGGAGTGGAAAGAAGGAGGCAGAGAGAAATGAGTCAAATGTGGACATAGGGAGGTTGAAATCCCCCAAAACTGTGAGGGGTGAGCCATCCTCAGGGAAGGAACTTATCAAGGCGTCGAGCTCATTGATGAACTCTCCAAGGGAACCTGGAGACAGGATTGTGTCGCGGCACAGATCTGGGGAAGGGTACCAAAAAATGTCTGCAGCATTGAAGGTCCCCAAGAACACAGTGGCCTCCATCATTCTTAAATGGAAGAAGTTTGGAACCACAAAGACTCTTCCTAGAGCTGGCCACCCGGCCAAACTGAGCAATCAGGGGAGAAGGTCCTTGGTCAGGGAGGTGACCAAGAACCCGATGGTCACTCTGACAGAGCTCTAGAGTTCCTCTGTGGAGATGGGAGAACCTTCCAGAAGGACAACCATCTCTGCAGCACTCCACCAATCCGGCCTTTATGGTAGAGTGGCCAAACGGAAGCCACTCCTCAGTAAAAGGAACATGACAGCCCTTTTGGAGTTTGCCAAAAGGCACCTAAAGACTCTCAGACCATGAGAAACAAGATTATCTGGTTTGATGAAACCAAGCGACTCTCCCCATCCAACCTGACAGAGCTTGAGAGAATCTGCAGAGAAGAATGGGAGAAACTCCCCAAATACAGGTACAGTTGAAGTCGGAAGTTTACATACCCCTTAGCCAAATACATTTAAACTCTGTTTTTCACAATTCCTGACATTTAATCCTAGTAAAAATTCCCTGTTTTAGGTCAGTTAGGATCCCCACTTTATATTAAGAATGTGAAATGTCAGAATAATAGTAGAGAGAATGATTTATTTCAGCTTTTATTTCTTTCATCACATTCCCAGTGGGTCAGAAGTTGACATACACTCCATTAGTATTTGGTAGCATTGCCTTTAAATTCTTTAACTTGGGTCAAACGTTTCGGGTAGCCTTCCACAAGCTTCCCACAATAAGTTGGGTGAATTTTGGCCCATTCCTCCTGACAGAGCTTGTGTAACTGAGTCAGGTTTGTAGGCCTCCTTGCTCGCACACAATTTTTCAGTTCTGCCCACAAATGTTCTATAGGATTGAGGTCAGGGCTTTGTGATGGCCACTCCAATACCTTGACTTTGTTGTCCTTAAGCCATTTTGCCACAACTTTGGAAGTATGTTTGGGGTCATTGTCCATTTGGAAGACCCATTTGTGACCAAGCTTCAACTTCCTGACTGATGTCTTGAGATGTTGTTTCAACATATCCACATAATTTTCCTTCCTCATGATGCCATGTATTTTGTGACGTGCACCAGTCCGTCCTGCAGCAAAGCACCCCCACAGCATGATGCTGCCACCCCCGTGCTTCATGGTTGGGATGGTGTCCTTCGGCTTGCAAGCCCCACCTTTTTCCTCCAAACATAACAATGGTCATTATGGCCAAACAGTTCTATTTTTGTTTCATCAGACCAGAGGACATTTCTCCAAAAAGTACGATCTTTGTCCCCATGTGCAGTTGCAATCCGTAGTCTGTCTTTTTTATGCCGGTTTTGCAGAAGTGGCTTCTTCCTTGCTGACCTGCCTTTCAGGTTATGTCGATATAGGACTCATTTTACTGTGGATATAGATACCTGTTTCCTCCAGCATCTTCACAAGGTCCTTTGCTGTTGTTCTGGGATTGATTTGCACTTTTCACACCAAAGTATGTTCATCTCTAGGAGACAGAACGCATTTCCTTCCTGACCGGTATGATGGGTACGTGGTCCCATGGTGTTTATACTTGCGTACTATTGTTTGTACAGATGAACGTGGTACCTTCAGGCATTTGGAAATTGCTCCCAAGGATGAACCAGACTTGTGGAGGTCTACCATTTTTTTTCTGAGGTCTTGGCTGATTTCTTTTGATTTTCCCATGATGTCAAGCAAAGAGGCACTGAGTTTAAAGGTAGGCCTTGATATACATCCACAGGTACACCTCCAATTGACTGAAATGATGTCAATTAGCCTATCAGAAGCTTCTAAAGCCATTACATAATTTTCTGGAATTTTCCACGTTGTTTAAAGGCATAGTCAAATTAGTGTATGTAAACTTCTGACCCACTGGAATCGTGATACAGTGAATTATAAGCAAAATAATCTGTCTGTCAACAATTGTTGGAAAAATTACTTGTGTCATGCACAAAGTAGATGTCTTAACCGACTTGCCAAAACTATAGTTTATTAACAAGAAATTTGTGGAGTGGTTGAAAAATGAGTTTTAATGACTCCAACCTAAGTGTATGTAAACTTCCGACTTCAACTGTACATACCCAAGAAGACTTGATGCTGTCATCACTGCCGAAGGTGCTTCAACACAGTACTGAGTAAAGGGTATGAATACTTATGTAAATGTGATATTTCTGTTTTTTATGTTTAACAATTTAGCAAAAAATTCTAAAAACCTGTTTTTGCTTTGCCATTATAGGGTTGTGTGTAGATTGATGAGTGAACAAAAAAACAATTTTAATCAATTTTAGAATAAGGCTGTAACGCAACAAAATGTGGAAAAAGTCAAGGGGTCTGAATATTTTCTGAAGGCAATATAACAACATCTACTTTCATAATATCAATTGTTTACTTTCTAAGGGCCTCAAATTGTATAGAAATGCAAAATACAGAATGCACATTTATGCATTTCAACATTTTATCACTGTATTCTTCCAATTTCAAGGTTATGTTTCATATAAATTTCAAATAGCTAATTAGCAGCATGGGAAGCACCTTTAATAACTACAGGTGTGCAATGTTTAAATAAGCAGCAGATTGTATCCAGTGTTTCTATTTCCTGCACACTCTCCCTCTTTGACTCATGCTGTAAACTACAGTACAGGGCAGTTATAAGAATCCCCCAAAATACCCTCTTGATCTGTTGAAAATACTTTACACACTTAACTAAGAAATCTACTTTTTTTTTTTATAGCTAAGATATTATTTCCTAATAGACAATGAATATTGCATTATATAAAGCTCCTACCTCAAACTATCTCATGACCAAAAGATTTCAAGTTTTCCTAAGGAGAGATGGGTCTTTTTATGACCGTTCCTGTTATTCCATGCTATGAGGAAGCAGCAATGCTGTCTCCACTCCTTGCTGTTTCTAGTCTGACTAGAGTGATTTCCTCCTTCTTCATGGCTGTAGCGTGATGCTAACACATAAGTCATGGTGTTCATATGGCACTTGCATTGCTCTGCATGTATTCACATGGAAAACAACCCGCTAGAACTGAGTTACAAGAAAAATAGTGTGAAAGGTCAAAGGTCATATCTCTGATTCTCTACGAAATGACCTCTGGTCTAGGCTGACGGTGGCCTGCAGTCTCTCCAGCTCTGGCAACCTGTCCCCATCCTCATCCTCCTCCCCCTCCTCATCCTCTTCCTCGTCCCGGCTGATGAAAGCCAGCTCATTCTCATAGCAGAAAGAGTTGGCGGTGGGCGTAGGCTCCTTGTCCTCGTCCTCCATCTCCGTCATGTCCTTGGCACTGCACTGGGGGGTGGACGGCACTTCGAAGGTTTTGTGGAAGTGAGCGTAATCCACTTTGTACTGGCTCTTCTCCTCGAAGACGACAGGCTCGAAGCGGTGACCCCACAGGATCTCTGAGGACAGGTAAGAGCTGCGAGCTTGCGCTGTCATGGCTGTGGCTTCCACCATCCCTTCAAGTATCACCACTATCTCAAAGTCGGACAACTCCAGGTCCTGCTTGCTGATGCTGAACAGAGGGCTCTCCTCATCGATCTCGTGCACAATGGTGAGCGGGGAGACCAGGAAGATGCGGTCGATGCCCGTGTCATACCCTACGTTGATGTCGATCTGGTCCAGGGGGATGTACTCACCCTCCTCGGTGATGCGGGGCTTGATGAGCTGGGCACGGACGTGGGCCTCCACCATGTGGCTCTTCCTCAGGTTTCCCACCCTCCACATAAGGCACAGCTTCCCGTCCCGCATGGCGATCACTGCATTGTTGCTGAACAGCAGTGTCTCTGCACGCTTCTTAGGCCGTGCCATCTTGGCTAAAATGGCGCCAATCATGAAGGAGTCGATGATGCAACCCAAGATGGACTGGAAGACCACCATGAAGACGGCCGAGGGGCACTCCTCCGTCACGCAGCGGAAGCCATAACCAATGGTGGTCTGGGTCTCCACGGAGAACAGGAAGGCGGCCACGAAGCTGTTGACCTGCAGGACGCAGGGGGTGAAGTTATCATCTCCACCACTCGGGTTGTCCATATCCCCGTGAAGCAAAGCAATGACCCAGAAGGCCAGGCCGAATGCCAGCCAGGACACCACGAACACCAGTGTGAACATCAGGAACATCCAGCGCCAGCGGATGTCCACGCATGTGGTGAAGATGTCCGACATGTAGCGCTGCGACTTCTCGTCCATGTGCGAGAAGCGTACATTGCACTGGCCGTTCTTATTCACGAAGCGGCTGCGGCACTTGCGGCGCATCGTGTGGATCTTGCCGTTGCCGAAGCCGTTGCCCATTGTGACGGCAGGCATGGCACCGAGACGCAGGCCTTCTTCCTCCGAGGACACGATGCTGTAGCGGTGCGCCCCGACCACACTCATGACCGATCCAGGCTCAGCCAGTGGGGCACCAGAGAGTCGCTGCTCCAACTCAATAGACACGGGAGACAGCACTGGAGATCACAGGAAATGGGCACAGGCAGCTCCCCCTTGCTGCCAAAACAGATCTCTGTCCAAGTGGGCCAAATGGGTCCTAGACACACACTTCCTGACCTGAGGAGAGAAGAGAAGCCAGAGGTTAGTCTACTACACACAGGATCCTGATATTATCTACTGTTTGTATGATATTTAATGTATTTATTTTTATATCTGAAACATTGATGTGTATTCTATATGCAACACTTCAATAAAAACCAAGCTATTACACGCAGGCCATGTTAAACAACACCCCTCAAAGACTAATCAACTCAGCGGCTTTCTGCTTTATTTTAAGCAGTGTTTTATCACTACAATGGTGTGGTGTGTAGTACTCCGTCACTTTGGGCTCGGTGCGCCTTAGTAGCAGCAGATGTTGCTAATTAAACCAAGTTCACACTCTTTCTTGTGAAAATTGTAAGCAGCCCATTCAGCTGGGATCCTGGTCTTGAGGCTTATAATAGTCGTTTTTAAAGTACTCAGTAGACTATGTCTGTGTCCCAAATGGCACCCTATTCCCTTTATAGTGTACTACTTTTGACCAGGCCCAATAGGGCACTAGTCAAAAGTATTGCACTATATAAGGAATAGGGTGCCATTTGGGAAGCATCCTAGATCTAAACAACAGATTCACTTGCTTCAGGGTTGGGGGTTCAATTCCATTTGAACTCGATCAATTCATCACCTAGATTTTTATTCCGTTTTCACTATGTACTGTATATTTTTATAGTCCTGAAATTGAATTGAAACTCATCTTCTGAATTGAACAATACAACCTTAGATTTGGGGTTATTATAGGCAAAGTAAGACCCTTTGTACTGTAACTATAGTAAGCTAATAAGGCATTTATAAGTGACCTTCTTTAAGAATCAATTGGTATCTAATACCATTAAGGACCTGATTTAGGAGTAACCTCCCACCACCACCACCACCCGTCATCTGGCTCTGACTGTGCTGTAGTCTAGTGGCAATGCGCTCTCTAATAATAGCTGCCAGTCACGTTGAGCCCCCTTTTCCACAGCTCAGACTCTGAGAGCGCATTGCGTTCTGAGTGCATTTCTTTTCAACACAAGTACTGTACAGACCATTTTATTTCAATGCAACTCCAGCACAGTTCATGTCAACGCAACTAAGGAGCTAATTTCAGTGAAACACTGTTTTGACCCTTAGGCGTTCATCAGGTGCTGAAGACGGAGACAGAACTGATACCATAATGCAGTGAAATGTTTAGTGACACAAAAAGTAGGTTATGGCATATGGACCACATCGTTATTGACTAACCTCCTAACTACAGGCACCTCTCTCGTAGTCTCTCTCTCTCTCTCTCTCTCTCTCTCTCTCTCTCTCTCTCGTAGTCTCTCTCTCTTTCTCTCACTCTCTTTCTCTCCCATAGTCTCTCTCTCTCTCTCTCTCTCTCTCTCTCTCTCTCGCTCTCTCTCTCTCTCTCGCTCTCTCTCTCTCTCTGTTGTAGCATCTCCTATTCTCTTTCTCTCTATCTCTCTCAAGTCTCTCTCTCTCTAGTATCGCCACATGTTGCGTTTGGCTCAGTGTGGTGACCAACCAGTAAACAGGAGTCACTGAAAGGGAACCTGATTTGCTGAGGTATTGTGGGACGGCTCAATGTAAGAGAGTGGTTAAAGGCGTCACCATGGAAACAGGTCACCGCTCCGAGACTGAGGTCTGCTGAGATTGGATGTGCGGCATACTGTAGCTACACCTAAGATGTGGTAACTTTGGGGGCTGGTATGATCACAGGGGTGAGGTGGTTCGTCATTTCCTAATGTTGGTGGATTGTTGTTGTCTCAGTACTACGCAGGTAACTTAAAACCATCCGGGGACAGTCTTTCCTTCCTGCCCTCTTCACTATCTCCTCCTCTCCCAGAATATGGCTGTAAATCGATTTTGTTTTACAGGAATAACTGGCCTGGCCCGTCTTGGTGTCTTGCCACACTAAATGAAGTATTTCTGGTTCCCTCCAGGTGGCAGAACAGTCAGGAAGAGTTGCCCCCCTCCTGTGAGCATGGTTGTGTCCAAATGGCACCCTATATAGTGCACTACTTTTGACCAGAGCCCTCTATAGAAAATAGGATGCCATTTGGAACGTAGCCCATGTACAGAGAAACCAACCAACAGCGAGACAGACTGAGGAAGATAAGATGGAGAGGGCGAGTGATGGTGAGAGGGAAGTACTGTAATGGAACACAGAGAAACCAGAGAGAGAGAGAGTGAAGAGGTGAGAAGAAAGGATTAAAAAAGGATAGAGGTCAGGGAAGACAGGGAGGCCACAAGGAGGAAGAAAGGGAAGAGAAGGAGCCAGGAAACAGGGGGGACCCTTGGGACTGTGGAAGGGAGCGAGAGGGAGAAACGGATACTGATCAAACGTCTGCCAAGAAATGACTCCGCTTTCTCTCCGATAACCAAAGAAAAACCCTCTGATGCTGTCACCGTGGTTACTGCTCTCCTCTTGTTCTGTACTTGCCTGCTGTTAGACATTTCAGTATAATTTTACTCCATTTTACTGCAGTGGGCTAAATCAGGGTCACACAGAGTGTTTCTTGGTAGTCTTAAACAAATGTACTTTGAAACAAAAGTATACACCTCACACACATGGTTATGGGCTTAAAAAAAAGAAGACACCTGTACCATGTCAGATATAGAGTTGAAATGTATTCAATTTATTTTGAGTTTGCATCCTAATATTACACTTTATATACATCACAGAAGACTGAAATATAACAAAACTGTTTAACATAGAAACAAAAAAAACATTGAAAAAAAAGTTGATTAATTATGAAATTATGAAAAATATTAATAACATTCGACCCATGAGGCCACTAGAAATTTGGCTGCGGGAAAGGGCTACAGTCAACAGGTACAATGCGTTATGATGCCAGTATGCATGAATGGAATGGCGCCGGAGGAGATGGCTGCCGTTTTACGGGCTTCTAACCAATTGTGCTTTATTGTGTGTTTTTTCACGTTGTTTTTAACTTATTTTGTACATAATGTTTCTGCCACCGTCTCTTATGACCGAAAAGAGCTTCTGGATATCAGAACAGCGAATACTCACCTCGAACTGGACAAAGATACTTTAACGAGTCGGATGCGAAGGATTTAACCGAGATACCCGACCAGGCCCAAATCCCCGTCATTCGCATGAAGAGAAGACGCCGATGCAGGTCGTGCCTTGATAGAATTCGTCAGCGAGTGGGTAACCCGCCTCTACCAACCATCATATTGGCCAATGTGCAATCATATCAATAAAGCTCTGTTCAAGACTATCCTACCAACGGGACTTAAAAACTGTAATATCTGATGTTTCACCGAGTCGTGGCTGAATGACGACATGGATAATATACAGTTGGCTGGTTTTTCCGTGCATCGGCAAGACAGAACAGTTGCCTCCGTTAATACAAGGGGTGGCGGTCTGTGTATATTTGTCAATAACAGCTGGTGCGCAAAATCAAATATTAAGGAAGTCTCGAGGTTTTGCTCGCCTGATGATAAGCTGTAGACCACACTATTTACCAAGAGACTGTTCATCTATATTTTTAGTGGCCGGGGACTTTAATGCAGGGAAACTTAAATCAGTTTTACCTCATTTCTACCAGCATGTTACAGCATGTTAAAAAAACTATAGAACACCTTTACTCCACACACAGAGACGCATACAAAGCTCTCCCTCGCTCTCCATTTGGCAAATCTGACCATAATTCTGTCCTCCTGATTCCTGCTTACAAGCAAAAACTAAAGCAGGAAGTACCAGTGACTCGCTTAATACGGAAGTGGTCTGATGACGCAGATGCTAAGCTACAGGATTGTTCCGGGAATCATCCGATAGCATTGAGGAGTATACGACACCAGTCACCGGTTTCATCAATAAGTGCATCGATGACGTTGTCCCCACGATGACTGGACGTACATACCCCAACCAGAAGCCATGGATTACAGGCAACATCCGCACTGAGGTAATGTGTAGAGCTTCCGCTTTCAAGGAGCGGGACTCTAACCCAGACGCTTATAAGAAATCCCGCTATGCCTTCAGACGAACCATCAAACAGTCAAAGCGTAAATACATGACTAAAATTTAATCCTACTACACCGGCTCCGACACTTGTCGGATGTGGCAAGGATTGTTTACTATTATAGACTACAAAGGGAAGCCCAGCTGCGAGCTGCCCAGTGACACAAGCCTACCAGAGGAGCTAAATGACTTCTATGCGCGCTTCAGGGCAAGCAACACTGAAGCATGCATGAGAGCACCAGCTGTTCCGGATGACTGTGTGATCACGCTCGCCGTAGCAGATGTGAGCAAGACCTTTAAACAGGTCAACATTCACAAGGCCGCAGGGCCAGACGGATTACCAGGACGTGTACTCCAAGCATGCGCTGACCAACTGGCAAGTGTCTTTACTGACATTTTCAACCTGTCCCTGGCCGAGTCTGTAATACCTGCATGTTTCAAGCAGACCACCACAGTCCCTGTGCCCAAGTACACCAAGGGAACCTGCCTAAATGACTACCGACCCGTAGCACTCACGTCTGTAGTCATGAAGTGCTTTGAAAGGCTGGTCATGGCTCACATCAACACCATCATCCCAGAAACCCTAGACCCACTCCAATTTGCATACCGCCCCAACAGATCCACAGATGACGCAATCTCTATTGCACTCAACACTGCTCTTTCCCACCTGGACAAAAGGAACACCTACATGAGAATGCTGTTCATTGACTACAGCTCAGCGTTCAACACCATAGTGCCCTTAAAGCTCATCACTAAGCTAAGGACCCTGGGACTAAACACCTCCCTCTGCAACTGGATCCTGGACTTCCTGACGGGCCGCCCCCCAGGTGGTAAGGGTAGGTAAGGGTAGGCAACAACACATCTGCCATGCTAATCCTCAACAAAGGGGCCCCTCAGGGATGTGTGCTTAGTCCGCTCCTGTACTCCCTGTTCACCCATGACTGCGTGGCAAAGCACGACTCCAACACCATCATTAAGTTTGCCGATGACAAAACAGTGGTAGTAGGCCTGATTACCAACAATGATGAGACAGCCTATAGGGAGGAGGTCAGAGACCTGGCGTGTGGTGCCAGGACAACAACCTCTCCCTCAACGTGATCAAGACAAAGGAGATGATTGTGCACTACAGGAAAAGGAGGGCCGAGCACGCCCCCCATTCTCATTGACGGGGCTTTAGCGGAGCAGGTTGAGAGCTTCAAGTTCCTTGGTGTCAGCAACACCTACAAACTATCATGGTCCAAACACACCAAGACAGTCGTGAAGAGGGCACGACAACGCCTATTCCCCCTCAGGAGACTGAAAAGATTTGGCATGGGTCCACAGATCCTCAAAAAGATATACAGCTGCACCATCGAGAGCATCATGACTGGTTGCATCACCACCTGGTATGGCAACTGCTCGGCCTCCGACCGCAAGGCGCTACAGTGGGTAGTGCGTACGGCCCAGTACATCACTGGGGCCAAGCTTCCTGCCATCCAGGACCTCTCTACCAGGCGGTGTCAGAGGAAGGCCCTAAAAATTGCCAAACACTCCAAACACTCATAGACTGTTCTCTCTGCTACCGCACGGCAAGCGGTACCGAGCACCAAGTCTAGGTCCAAAAGGCTTCTTAACAGCTTCTACCCCCAAGCCATAAGACTCCTGAACAGCTCATCAAATGTCTACCTGGACTATTTGCAATGACCCCCCCATCCCCTTTTTTTTTACACTGATACTACTCACGTTTTATTATCTATTATCTATGCATAGTCACTTTACCACTTTTGTATATATTACCTCAATTACCTCGACTAACCTGTACCCCCGTAAATTGACTCGGTACCGATACCCCCTGTACAGTGCCTTGCAAAAGTATTCATCCCCCTTGGTGTTTTTCCTATTTTGTTGCATTACAACCTATAATTTAAATGGATTTTTATTTGGATTTCATGTAATGGACATACACAAAATAGTCCAAATTGGTGAAGTTGAATGAAAAAAATTACTTCTAAAAAATAAAGAACGGAAAAGTGGTGCTTGCATATGTATTCACCCTCTTTGCTATGAAGCCCCTGAATAAGATCTGGTGCAACCAATTACCTTCAGAAGTCACATAATTAGTTAAATAAAGTCCACCTTTGTGCAATCTAAGTGTCACATGATCTGTCACATGATCTGTTCTGAAAGGCCCCAGAGTCTGCAACACCACTAAGCAAGGGGCACCACCAAGTAAGTGGCACCATGAAGACCAAGGAGCTCTCCAAACAGGTCAGGGACAAAGTTGTGGAGAAGTACAGATCAGGGTTGGGTTATAAAAACATATCTGAAACTTTGAACATCCCACGGAGCACCATTCAATCCATTATTAAAAAAATTGAAAGAATATAGCACCACAACAATCCTGCCAAGAGAGGGCCGCCCACCAAAACTCACGGACCAGGCAAGGAGGGCATTAATCAGAGAGGCAACAAAGATAACCCTAAAGGAGCTGCAAAGCTCCAATAGCGGAGATTGGAGTATCTGTCCATAGGACCACTTTAAGCCGTACACTCCACAGAGCTGGGCTTTACGGAAGAGTGGCCAGAAAAAAGCCATTGTTAAAGAAAAGAATAAGCAAACACATTTGGTGTTCGCCAAAAGGCATGTGGGAGACTCCCCAAACATATGGAAGAAGGTACTCTGGTCAGATGAGACTAAAAGTGAGCTTTTTGGCCATCAAGGAAAATGCTATGTCTGGCGCAAACCCAACACCTCTCATCACCCCGAGAACACCATCCCCACAGTGAAGCATGGTGGTGGCAGCATCATGCTGTGGGGATGTTTTTCATCGGCAGGGACTGGGAAACTGGTGAGAATTGAAAGAATGATGAATGTGCTAAACACAGGGACATTCTTGAGGGAAACCTGTTTCAGTCTTCCAGAGATATGAGGTTCACCTTCCAGCAGGACAATGACCCTAAGCATATTGCTAAAGCAACACTCAAGTGGTTTAAGGGGAAACGTTTAAATGTCTTGGAATGGCCTAGTCAAAGCCCAGACCTCAATCCAATTGAGAATCTGTGGTATGACTTAAAGATTGCTGTACACCATCGGAACCCATCCAACTTGAAGGAGCTGGAGCAGTTCTGCCTTGAAGAATGGGAAAAAATCCCAGTGGCTAGACGTGCCAAGCTTATAGAGACATACACCAAGAGACTTGCAGCTGTAATTGCTGCACAAAGGTGGCTCTCACAAGTATTGACTTTGGGGGGGTGAATAGTTTTGCCCCCGCTTTAAGTTTTTTCAGTTTTTTTTTTGTTTTTGGAAAATTTCGTGGTTTGTTTTTTCCCAAACCCCCCCCAAAAAGGTAATTTTGGCCCGGGGGTTTTTTTTTTCTTTTTTTAAAAAATTTTGGGGGAAGGGGGGAAAAAAGTTTGGGGGTTTAAATCAAAATTTGGGGTAAAATTTTTGACCATTAAATTGTAATTGTAATTGCGCACACATTGATGCCAGACATGCACCTACCGTAATGCTCTGTTACTGATGACTGGGATGAATGCAGGAGCAGATTTCAGGAGCAGGACAAGACACCCTCTTTGTGACTGATGACTGATATAAGGGCATGTACATGATAAGCCTATCTAGCTGATATGATTATGATGGTCATAATGCATCTTGACAGTGTCATAAAGTGTATTTTCTTAGTCCAAGTAAAGGGACACAGGATGGTCATAATGCTTCATGACAGTGATAAAGTGTATTTTCTACAAGTTATAATTAATTACAACAACAATAAAGGACATAAGAAACAAACTTTCAAATTAAAGGAAGCTTCTTCGTAGCGAAAAAAGGAATGTGGGTTTTGACACACTTATGTAGGTGTCATAACCAGCCATAAAATAACGCAATATATGTCACAACAGATGTAAATAAATGGCAGTGTTATGAACATATTATGACAGGTTATGACAAGTTAGGTCAGCTGTTATGACATAATATGACATGGTTATGACCGTGTCATAACATGTTATGACATTGGGTGTCAGGTAAAGTGTTACCAAGATTTCTACAATATAGACTGATGTGAATAGTATTTGTTAAGCCATGTTATAAAGATGGTTTATTTACTGTACACAAACACCCCCCCCCCACTTATGTCACATATAAAACAAAAGTTAAAAACATTACATCATATAACATTATTACACCACTACATATCCACAACACAAAATGTATAATACCACCATACAACAATATTACAATGTACGTACACTATCAGTCAAAAGTTTTAGAACACCTACTCATTATTTTTACTATTTTCTATATTGTAGAATAATAGTGAAGACATCACAACTATGAAAAAACACATATGGAATCATGTAGTAACCAATAAAGTGTTAAACAAATATAAATATATTTGAGATTTGAGATTCTTCAAATAGCCACCCTTTGCACACTCTTGGCATTCTCTCAACAGGCTTCATGAGGTAGTCACCTGGAAGGCATTTCAATTAACAGCTGTGCCTTCTTAAAAGTTAATTTGTGGAATTTCTTTCCTTCTTTACGCGTTTGAGCCAATCAGTTGTGTTGTGACACGGTAGGGGGGTGTACAGAAGATAGTGTAGAGTGTGCTAGCGTGAGTGTGCGTATGCGTGTGTCTGTTCCTGTGTGTGTGTATCTCTTCACAGTCTCTGCTGTTCCATAAGGTGTATTATTATCAGTAAATCTACTGCTTGCATCGGTTACCTGATGAGGAATAGAGTTCCATGTAGTCATGGCTCTATGTAGTACTGTGCGCCTCCCATAGTCTGTTCTGGACTTGAGGATTGTGAAGAGACCTCTTGTGGCATGTCTTGTGGGGTATGCATGGGTGTCCGAGCTGTGTGCTAGTAGTTTAGACGGACACCTCGGTGCATTCAACATGTCAACACTTCTTACAAAAACAAGTAGTGATGAAGTCAATCTCTCCTCCACTTTGAGCCATGAGAAATGTACATGATTATTATTAATGTTATCTCTCTGTGTACATTTAAGGGCCAGCTGTGCTGCCCTGTTCTGAGCCAATTGTAATTTTCTGAGCTCCATCTTTGTGACACCTGACCACATGACTGAACAGTAGTCCAGGTGCGACAAAACTAGGGCCTGTAGGACCTGCCTTGTTGACAGTGTTGTTAAAAAGGCAGAGTAATGCTTTATTATGGACAGACCTCTCCCCGTCTTAACTACTGTTGTATCAACATGTTTTGGACATGACAGTTTACAATCCAGGGTTACTCCAAGCAGTTTAGTCACCTCAACTTGCTTAATTTCCACATTATTTATTACAAGATTTAGTTGAGGTTTAGGGTTTAGTGAATGATTTGTCCCAAGTACAATGCTTTTAGTTTTTGAAATATTTAGGACTAAATTATTCCTTGCCACCCATTCTGAAACTACCTGCAGGTCTTTGTGAAGCATTGCAGTGATTTCAGTCGTTGTAATAGCTGACGTGTATAGTGTTGAGTCATCCGCATACATAGACACACTGGCTTTACTCAAAGCCAGTGGCATGTCATTAGTAAATCTTGAAAAAAGTAAGGGGCCTAGACAGATGCCCTGGGGATTTCCTGATTCTACCTGGATTGGAGAGGCTTCCATTAAAGAACACCCTCTGTGTTCTGTTAGACAGGTAACTCTTTATCCACAATATAGCAGGGGGTGTAAAGCCATAACACATAAGCTTTTCCAGCAGCATACTTTTTATCATACATTTCTCTCAGCCAGTCATTTGTGTAAGTCCCGTGCTTGTTAAATGTCCTTCCCTATAAGCGTGCTGAAAGTCTGTTGTCAATTTGTTTACAGTAAAATATAATTGTATATGGTCAAACAATTTTTTCCGAAAGTTTACTTAGGTTTGGTAACAGGCTGATTGGTCGGCTATTTAAACCAGTAAAGGGGGCTTTACTATTCTTGGGTAGCGGAATTACTTTTGCTTCCCTCCAGGCTGAGGGCACACACTTTCTAGCAGGCTTAGATTGAAGATATGTGTAATGATGTCATTGCATAGCGTTGTGTGACCCAGGGGAGAGTTGGTAGATAAGTGGCTTGGTGCCACAGAGTCTGCATTCCTTATGTCAAAGGAGATTACTGAGGTTGATCTTAGAATAATTAATGGACGGGATATAATGACAGGGGTAAAAGGTAATAACATCAAAGAAAGGGAGCCCATGGAGGTTTAACAGATGTTCGTGAAGAAACTTGTAACAGAGTGTATATAAGCTGAGGGATCTCTTTGTACTGGAGTTGGAAGATGGCAGAGGCAAGGCTATGTCCTTATTCTGCTATAACTAACCATGGTACCATATTAAATATCTTATATGAACTCCCCATCAAAAGTATCTAAATCTATCCTTACATTCTTAATCACTTGATACCCTAGAAACTCATCATAACAATATGGCAAATAGGAGTGGCTGTATCGTCCACTGTTATCCTGACAAATTTTCCACCCAAGTTGTCAGACCCCAATGGCTTGTCATTGTTGATATACAACAATATTTTTTTCCCTTCTTCCACACTCACTTTACGGAATTAAAAATGACAATGCTTGTCTTTCATAATTTTACCAGTTATACTTGGTTATACTGACAGCGTTTGTTGCTGGCAAGTCATGCCTAAGTTTGCTAATCTTGCCAATGAAAAAATCATTAAAGTAATTGGCAATATCAGTGGGTTTTGTAATGAATGAGTCATCTGATTCAATGAATGATGGAGCTGAGTTTGCCTTTTTGACCTCAAGTTAATTTAAGGTGCTCCACAGCTTTTCACTATCATTCTTTATATCATTTATCTTTGTTTCATAGTATTGTTTCTTCTTCTTTATGTAACCGGTGTAAAATGGCTAGCTAGTTAGCGGTGCACGCTAGTAGCATTTCAATCGGTGACGTCACTCGCTCTGAGACATTGAAGTAGTTGTTTCCCTTGCTCTGCAAGGGCCATGGCTTTTGTGGAGCGATGGGCAACGATGCTTCGAGGGTGACTGTTGTCGATGTGTGCAGAGGTTTCCTGGTTCAAGCCCAGGTAGGGGCGAGGAGAAGGACAGAAGCAACATTTATATTACATTTATATTCTGTTTAGTCACATGATTTCTCAATTTGCAGTGCGTTTGCCAATTGGTTGCGCAGCCAGACTAATTTGCCATTCATGGCTCATGCGTGCATACATTTTACGTATCGGTGGTCCCGGGAATCAAACCCACTACCCTGGCGTTACAAGTGCCATGCTCTACCAATTCAGCTTTTCAACACTGACTATTGATGTGCAAATTAAGTATTGTTATGTACTGTAGCCTATATGGTTGGTCTTGTTGGCAGTGATGGTCCCTGGTCAAAAGTAGTACATTATATAGGGTGCCATACACCTACGGGGACAAACACCTACTGTAAGTCCAGACAGTATGCTTCAGAGGCAACCTGTTACATAACTGTGTGTGCAAATGAGGGGATTAGGGCTTCCTTGTGCTTTTGGTGTGTGAGTCATGAGTCATGAGTCATTTGTATTCAAGTTATGCCTCTTAGTAATACTCAAATTATAATTAGTAGTATTTAAATTTCACGGTGGGTTTGCTTGGGGTTTAACGATTTTCACGTTTGTATGATGCCCTAGTGAAGCATAGGGTCAGTCAGGACACCGCGAATAAACCTGGGCCCAAGTGTTGAGGTGTGCTCATTCCGTGTCAGTTTAGTTGTGTGAAGTCTTTTGGAGACAGGAAGGACTGTGCAGTCGCGTCCCCTGGGACTTCTGTAGGAGACCCCTAGGGAACCTCACTTGTCCTTTTCTCCTCTCCCCCTTCTTTTCACAGCACACACAGCCCATGGCCTAAATATCCACCTCTGCCTTCAAGCCTCACTTCCCTCTCTCCTCCCTGCACCACAGAATGCTCTGGATCTGGAGTCCAGCTGCAGTGGAGGTGTTATGACAATAGGGAGAAAGACAACATGGAGGGCATAACAATATAATTACTAGAATGTAGTGCTGAGCGATTAACAGAAATGTCAGTTATTTTTCATTTTTTTAACAAGTAGTTGACCAACATTGGTTTAATTATTTGAATTCCATTTAGTTCGGGTTTTGTCTGCGAGCTCAATGCGCTCTAGAGATGAATCAGATCAAGCCCGAACTGTGTGATGTAGTAGGGAGTTATAGTTTCCAACAGGCCAATATTCTACATAGTTTAGAGAAGAAAATGTGGTAATTAACTACAATGGCCATAATCCATTACGCGCCTACTTGTGTGTTTCTTTTACGCCTGCTACGTTAGGTTAGTGTGTGGCAGACATGGAGAGGTAGAGAAGAGACCGAAGAATGCGCGAAGGAGAAGGATAGAGAGCAGTTGCTTCGCGAGGTATCTCTACCTGAAAATACATGATCTAAGTGATTGATAGTTGGTATTCAGCAGTCATAAAAGTATACCTTATTTACTTTGAAGAACTACTAAAATAGTGATTTTATCAGACAGCATAGGCAGCAACTCTATAGAGATGAGATGATGACTTGGAATGAAATAACAGTCATCAAATAAAACAAATGTAATATACACAACAACTGAAATATTTAATTAAAGTAATGTGAATAAATTATGGTTAATAAGTGTAAAGCAGTAATGGGCAGTCACTACCATTATGGGACTTTTATTAATGTTTTATTTTGTGTTGTTACAGCATTCAACCCACATAATGCATAGTGCATTTAATGTTTAAAAAAAATATCTAAACCGAAATCGAAAACTGAACCGACCTCAAAAAGCGCTAATTGCTCAGCACTACTAAATTGTTACCGGTTTAGACTTGAATGGGGATGTCTGTTCAAGAAATAGGAGCTAGGGTTAGGTTTATAAGATTAGGGTTAAGGTTAGGTTTTGGGGTTAGAGTTAGGACTGACTTGTGTGTCCCCACAAGGTTAGTTATACAAGACTGTGTGTGCGAGTGTGTGCATGTGTGCGCATGTGTATTTGTACACATGTGTACTTGTGTGTTTGAGCTGGGTGGATTGAGTCCGGATTAGGTTATTCCAGGGTCCAGTGATGTACGGTAGATAATAATCTGACTAGAGGAGCTTTAGTGTGCTATTCTCTTATTACGGGGGTGTCTCTGGCTGGTCAGGACTTCACTCCTGTCTCAGTCCTTTGTGTCTTCTGCACTTCCTGAATCCAACTACAAAGGTTGAATCTCAAAGTCTTTCCTCTGTCCTATCCTCAAATCCTCTCTTCGCTTCCTCTCAAGCCATTTAACTACTACTAGTTTCGGCCATTCTGTTAGTCAATCGAGATCACGTCTTCCGTCCACAATAACATCAACAGCAGGGATGTAGGCGTCAAAAACGTGGGTACACTCGAGGCAGGTAAAACCGTATGACACTTACAAGCCTAGGGCAGACAGGCTGCACAGACCAATGATAGAGAGATTAGATAAAGGGATGAGATCAAGGAGAGACTCATACAGATTACAGCCAGAGAACCACAGACTGAACGTGGACATTCACTCTGTATAAATGTCCTATTTCCATCTGTCCCTGTCCAGGTCTCCCTCATAACAGAATGTTAATAATAAGGATAAACAAATAAATAAATAATGACACGTCTCTCTGTCCCCCTTGGCATCCTTTCATCTCAGGTTTACCTGTGCCCAATCAGATGAGACAGCTGTCATCTTACTGTTCTCATATTCTGAATCTGCGCCCCAAATGGCACACTATTCCCTATATAGTGCATTACTTTCGACCAAGGCCCATAGTGCACTTTATATGGAAAAGGGTACCATTTGGGACGCAACCTGAATGTAAAACTTCCTGACGAACAGCGCCGGAGGAGTATGACATCATGACACGTGCTGATCGGGGAAGGAAGCCATATGCAAAGAACGGCAGGTCCCAGACTGTCGACATGTCCATCACCAAACCTGCTCCCATGAGACCCAGCGGCGCTCTCAAAGAATCACCATGGCAACAGGAGAACAGACAGGGCTGCTGGTTTGCTTGGCCGTTTGCCTGAACAGCAGAATGTTATACCCAATATTGCACTGCCAATTTAGGATTTTAGGATCTCTTATCTGGTCTGCGAGATGGTCTGGAGAGAAATCTGGTCTCATATACTGCAGAGTTTTTTCATGCTTTATAAGACAGGATGAAATCAGAACGGAAGATGAATGAGGAGGAGACACAGTAGGCACAGGGATCGAACCCTGGTCTCTGTTAAGAGCCAGGTGTGTTGTTAACTACCACCAGACCATAGGCTTGGTACTATCTGGTGTTTTCAGATGGGGAGTTAAGAGGATCTGGCCTGGTGTTGCTCAGTCTATTTGAGCTCTGTTCAGAAATTGGTCCAGCCAGCAGCAGAACAAGGTCAAAGTGTCCCACCTGGATGGAGACAGGAGAGATGGGGGAATGGATGGGATATGGGGGAGACGGGGGGAGATGGGGAGATGGAGGGGAGGGGAGGGGAGGGGGAGGGAGGAAGGATGGACAGACGCGGAAACAGAGTGAGGGAGAGACAGAGGGGGGAGGGGAGGAGAAGAAAGAGACGGCGGTAGATGGACGGAGAGAGGGAGGGGAGACAGAGGCGAGGGGAGTAGCTGGGCATACAAGACCCATTTGTGCTCTTTCTGTCCCAGTGAGTCTGACAACTGAGGAAGAAATGTTCTGTCACACTTTACTAGAAGGGGGTATGTAGGATAGTGGCATCTCAACATCTCATAACGCCTTACATGTATGTCTCATTACACCTTTCCTTCATGACAACAATCTTATCAATGTAAATGTATTATAATATGCCTGGAGAGAAGATGCTAAAATAAGAGCACCCCTTTCCTCGCAGTAAAATAAAGATAGAATAAATTAATGTCCAAAAAGTACAAAGGCACTTTTATTTTTACTGCTGTTGCCAAGCTGTAATGTTAGAAATTACACTGATGAATGCGTCATTAACAAAGATGCAGCAATACTCAAAGGTGCAATAAAAGGTGTTATCAATACCATCCCTTAAGGAAAGTGTTAAGTGAACATTACTCCTATGCATCCCTGCCTCCCATCCTACCCTAATTGCGTCAGTGGAACGGTACATTTCTGTGTTGTGTCTTTGACAAACACAGTTTATGATTTACATATCTACAGTGCCTACACACTTAGAATAAAGGGTTCCAAAAGAGTTATTTGGCTGTCCCCATAGGATAACCCTTTTTGGTTCCAGGTAGAACTCTTGAGGGTTCCATGTAGAACCCTGTATGGAAAGAGTTCTACATGGAACTCAAAAAGGTTCTACCTGGAACCAAAAAGGGTTCTTCAAAGGGTTCTCCTATGGGGACATCCGAAGAACCCTTTTAGGTTGTAGATAGCACTTTTTTTCTAAAAGTGTATAGAAAGTCTACACCCCTTTGAAGTTTTTCACATTTTGATGAGTTACAATGTGGGATTGAAATAGATTTTGTAATTTTTCACATTGATCTACACAACATCCTACATAATGTCAAAGTGAAAAGAAAATTCTACAAATCTTTACAAATTAATACAAATTAAATGGCAAAAATATAGTCGTAGCATAAGTTTTCACCCCCTTTGTTTAGGCAAGTCTAAATTAGGAGTGGACTCACGCTGTGTAATAATGGGGGTTGACGATTTTTCAATGACTACCCCTTCCTCTGTCCCCCATTCATACAATATCAGTCAAGTACTACATTTCAAGCACAGATTCAGGGACCAGAGAGCTTTTCGAAAGCCTCATAAAGAAGTGCAGTTTTCGGTAAATGGGTAACAATAACAAATCAGACATTGACTTCAGAAAGTATTCATACCATGATTCAAAACATGTTTTTAGACATTTTTGCAAATGTATTGAAAATGAAATACAGAAATATCTAATTTACATAAGTATTCACATCTCTGAGTCAATACATGTTAGAATCACCTTTGGCAGCGATTACAGCTGTGAGTCTTTCTGGGTAAGTCTCTAAGAGCTTTGCACAACTGGATTGTATAATATTTGCACATTATTCTTTAAAAAATTCTTCAAGTTCTGTCAAATTGGTTGTTGATCATTGCTAGACAGACATTTTCAAGTTACAAGCCGATTTAAGTCAAAACTGTAACTAGGCAACTCAGGAACATTCAATGTCGTCTTGGTAAGCAACTCCAGAGTTTATTTGGCCTTGGTTTTAGGTTATTGTCCTATTAAAAGGTGAATATGTCTCCCAGTGTCTGTTGGAAAGCAGACTGAGCCAGGTTTTCCTCTAGGATTTTGCCTGTGCTTAGCTCTATTGCATGTATTTCCCTAGTCCTTGCCGATGACAAGCATACCCATAACATGATACAGCCCCCACCTGCAGAAAAATGCAGTGCATTTGGAAAGTATTCAGACCCCTTGACCTTTTCCACATTTTGTTACGTTACAGCCGTTAAAAACAAATATTTTCTACCCCTTTTTCGTGATATCCAATTGGTAGTTGCAATCTTGTCCCATCGCTGCAACTCCTGTACGGACTCGGGAGAGGCATGCATCCTCTGAAACACGACCCTGCCAAGCCGCACTGCTTGCTCAACCCGTAAGCCAGCCGCACCAATGTATCGGAGGAAACATCATCCAAATGGCAACCGTGTCAGCATGCATGCGCCAATCCCGCCACAGGAGCCGCTAGAGCGCGATGGGACAAGGACATCCCAGCCGGCCAAACCCTCCCCTAACCCGGACGACGCTGGGCCAATTGTGCACCACCTCATGGGTCTCCCGGTCACGGCCGGCTGCAACACAGCCCGGGATTGAAACCGGATCTGTAGTGACACCTGTAGCATTGCGATGCAGTGCCTTAGACTGCTGCACCACTCGGGAGGCGTTACAGCCTTATTCTAAAATTGATTAAATAGTTTTTTCCCCTCATTAATCTACACACAATATCCCATAATGACAAAGCAAAAACAGTTTTTTAAAATGAAACATTTAAAAAATGAAATATCACATTAACATAAGTATTCAGAATCTTTACTCAGTACTTTGTTGAAGCTCCTTTGTCAGCAATTACAGCCTCACTTCTTCTTGGGTATGAAGCTACAAGCTTGGCACACCTGTATTTGGGGAGTTTCTCCCATTCTTCTCTGCAGATCCTCTCAAGCTATGTCCGGTTGGATGGGGAGTGTCGCAGCACAGCAATTTGCAGGTCTCTCCAGAGATGTTCGATCGGGTTCAAGTCCGGGCTCTGGCTGGGCCACTAAAGGACATTCAGAGACTTGTCCCGAAGCCACTCCTGTGTTGTATTGGCTGTGTGATTAGGGTCATTGTCCTGTTGGAAGGTAAACCTTTGCCCCAGTGTGAGGTCCTGAGCGCTCTGGAGCAGGTTTTCATCAAGGATCTCTCTTTACTTTGCTCCGTTCATCTTTCCGTCGATCCTGACTAGTCTCCCTGTCCCTGCCACTTAAAAATATCCCCACAGCATGATGCTGCCACCGTCATGCTTCACCGTAGGGATGGTGCCAGGTTTCCTCCAGACGTGATGCTTGGCATTCAGGCCAAAGAATTCAATCTTGGTTTCATCAGACCAGAGAATCTTGTTTCTCATGGTCTGAGATTCCTTTAGGTGCCTTTTGGCAAACTCCAAGCGGACTGTCATGTGCCTTTTACTGAGGAGTGGCTTTCGTCTGGCCACTCTACCATAAAGGCCTGATTGGTGGAGTGCTGCAGAGATGTATGTCCTTCTGGAAGGTTCTCCCATCTCCACAGAGGAACTCTGGAGCTCTGTCAGCGTGACCATCGGGTTCTTGGTCACCTCCCTGACCAAGGACCTTCTCCCCCGATTGCTCAGTTTGGTCGGGTGGCCAGCTCTAGGAAGAGTCTTGGTGGTTCCAAACTTCTTCCATTTAGAATGATGGGGGCCACTGTGTTTTGGGGACCTTCAATGCTGCAGACATTTTTTGGTACCCTTCCCCAGATCTGTGCCTCAACACAATCCTGTCTCGGCGCTCTATGGACAATTCCTTCGACCTCATGGCTTGGTTTTTGCTCTGACGTGGACTGTCAACTGTGGGACCTTATATAGACACTGTGTGCCTTTTCAAATCACGTCCAATCAAATTAATTTACCACAGGTGGACTCCAATCAAGTTGTAGAAACAGCTCAAGGATGATCAATGGAAACAGGAAGCATCTGAGCTCAATTTTGAGTCGAGGGTCTGAATACTTATGTAAACAAGGTTTTTCTGTTTTTTATTTTCTATACATTTGCAAAACTTTCAACAAACCTGTTTTCGCTTTGTCATTATGGGGTACTGTGTGTAGATTGATGAGGGAATAAAATAATGTAATCAATTTTAGAATAAGGCTGTAATGTAACAAAATGTGGAAAAAATAAAAGGGTCTGAATACTTTCCGAATGCACTGTACATATCTACCTCAATTACTCGGTACTGGTACCCCATATATATAGCCAAGTTATCGTTACACATTGTGTATTTATTCCTTGTGTAGTAGTGCGCTACATATGAAATAGGGTGCCATTTTGGAAGCATCCTGTGTTCTACTTTCCCAAGCAGCATAGGTGTACCTCGTCATAGCAACAACCTAAATTTGGAAACATTTTGAAAAAACCTGTTTTCGCTTTGTCATTATGGGTTATTGTGTGTAGATTGTTGATGAAAAACATTAATTTAATCAATTCTAAATTCAGGCTGTACACAACAAAATATGGAAAAAGTCACGGAGTGTGAATACTTTCTGAACGCACTGTAATTTTAAGCATGGTCAAGTTAATAAGTATGCTGTGGATGATGCATTAAATGACCCAGACACATCAAAGATGCAGGTCCTTCTGAACTGAGCTGCAGGACAGGAAGGAAACTGCTTAGGGATGGCATCATGAGGCCATTGGTGATTTTAAAACAGCTATAGAGTTCAGTGGCTGAAAAAACTGAGGATGGAGCAACAACATTGTATTAATAATTAACTCCACAATAATGACCTAAATGACAGAGTGAAAAGAAGAATAAAAATATACAGTATAAAAAATATTCCAAAACATGCCAATGGGTCTTTCTATAAAATAGGGTACCAGTGAGGTTTGATGGCATTTTATTGAGAAATGAGGGATTATACCCATGTTCAATTAAATTCACGAGTTGATTTAAAACCTATGTTTAACCCTTTATCATGGTTGGTGTCTTGATGGATTTGTCCAAAATCTTGTGACATAAAACATTAGTTCTGTCCTTGCATTTATGGCAGTGTAAGTTGTTATATCATATATTAAGTATTAATCAGTTAAATTAGACATGGAACTTGAATCCTGTTATAATAAATATGATTGCAAATTGGAATGCTTCTAACCGAAAGAGTCACCTTACCTTGACACTTAAAACCTAAATTGATACCGTCATTACTGTGGTTCTTTAATAATTATGCATAATACTTGTTGGATGTGCATTTGGTGTCCAGCTGATTAGTTACGAAGTGATATTTTCACACATCATCATAGTTTAGACGGACACCTCGGTGCATTCAACATGTCAACACTTCTTACAAAAACAAGTAGTGATGAAGTCAATCTCTCCTCCACTTTGAGCCATGAGAGATTACATTTTTTATTATTAATGTTAGCTCTCCTTGTACATTTAAGGGCCAGCCGTGCTGCCCTGTTCTGAGCCAATTGTAATTTTCTGACGTCCCTCTTTGTGGCACCTGACCACACGAATGAACAGTAGTCCAGGTGCGACAAAACTCGGGCCTGTAGGACCTGCCTTGTTGACAGTGTCGTTAAAAAGGCAGAGCAGCGCGTTATTATGGACTATTATGGACTTCTCCCCATCTTAGCTATTGTTTAAAACACAGAGTAGGTGTTCTAAAACTTTTGACCAGTAGTGTATATATATTTTTTTCTGGTTTTTCAGGGGGTGCTGCAGCACCCTCAGCACCCCTACTTCCCGCGGCTATGCAGGGAGGTCTTCCAATGCCTTGCAAAGAACGGCACTGATTGGTAGATGGGTATAAATAAATAAACAGATATTGAATATCCCTTTGAGCATGGTGAAGTTATTTAATTACACTTTGGATGGTGTATCTATACACCCAGTCACTACAAAGATACAGGCGTCCTTCCTAACTCCCAGGGATATCACAATGAGGCCAATGGTGACTTTAAAACAGTTTCAGAGTTTAATGTCTGTGATTGGAGACAACTGAGGATGGATCAACAACATTGTAGTTACTCCACAATACTAACCTAAATGACAGAGTGAAAAGAAGGAAGCCTGTACGTAATAAAAATATTCTAAAACATGCATTCTGTTTGCAATAAGGTACTAAAGTAAATCTGCAAAAAATGTGCCAAAGAAATTATATCCTGAATACAAGGCATTATGTTTGGGGGAAATCCAACACAGCATATCACTGAGTACCACTTTTCATATTTTCAAGCATGGTGGTGGCTGCATTATGTTATGGGTATGCTTGTCATCAGCAAGGACTAGGGAGTTTTTAAGGATACAAATTAATGGAATAGAGCTAAGCACAGGCAAAATCCTCAAGGAAAATCTGGTTCAGTCTGCTTTCCAATAGACACTGGGAGACAAATTCACCTTTCAGCAGGACAATAACCTAAAACACAAGGCCAAATATACACTGGAGTTTCGTACCAAGACGACATTGAATGTTCCTAAGTGGCTTACTTACAATTTTGACTTAAATCAGCTTGAAAATATATGGCAAGACTTGAAAATGTCTGTCTAGCAATGATCAACAACCAACTTGACAGAACTTGAATAATTTTTTAAAGAATAATGGGTCCCGCTTTAAATTACGTGCAGCTTATTGAGGCTTCATAAAGTCTTCATAAATGCTACATAAATGTGTTACAAATCATCTACAACCATATGCCATGCTTTATAAAGGGTTCATAAATGTTGCATAACTGTGTGACATAACCACCAATGTCAAATGTGACATAACCCACTTTGTAAAATATGACATAAACCTGTGCTTTATAAAGGTTGGCATAAGAACCGCCTAATAAAGGTCTTATGAATCATATTAAATTGAGGCTTTCCAAAGCATTCATAACCCTGTCATGCATCTTGGTAGAGCCGTGCAACGCTAGGATATTGGGTTCGATTCACAGGACCACCCATACGTGAAAATGTATTTATGCATGACTGTAAGTCGCTTTGGATAAAAGTGTCTGCAAAATTGTATAAATCATATTTCACTAAAACATTTCTAGGATGGCCCAACCTCTTTCCCTCTTGGGTGCATAGTCAATATTGGATCTGACTTCAACTTCCCCCAAACTGCTGTGCTGCAGGATGACACACACGCTAAAGTGCACAGAAAGAAACGTTGGTAGGGCCTTTTAAATCTGTTTTTTCCAAAATTCAGTTTTCTTGGTTGTGTTTTTCCAGGCTTCGGATTTCCACAATTTTTTCTGGTTTACCCAATCTTTTCACACTCGTTTAATAGGAAAACAACAAGATTTGATTTCTTTGTTCACAACAATGCTTAAACCAGATCAGGGGATGACTTTTGATGTCTAAGAAACGTAGATTTTTTGAGTGTAGTTGCCCTTTAATTCAGTGAGCATGAGCACTATTGTTTGGTTAGCGGGTTTTCTGTAGTGCAGTAAGCACACATGATGTGATGCAGCCGCCAGTGGAATGGGTGAAGTAAAAGGTCAGCAACACTCCGTATTATTCAGAGCCCCATGAAATGACACCATGTATACACTCTGCAGACCGTACTGAGTATTCCTATACTTTTACTGCTGCACCCAGAATAGTTCGTGCTCTAAGCCAATATGCAGGGGTGCAACTTTGGTTTTAGAAGTGGGGGGGACATATATATATTTTTCCAGTCGGATAAACACTCCAAACAGCCTACCCGACCGCTCGAATGCGTCCGCATGGTCCTAAATCACACCGTTGCCTAGTTTTGTATCATATTCCAATGATAAAACTCGAGGGGACAAAAATGCAATTTCAGAATGTGGGGGGACATGTCCCCCCTGTCCCCAGTGAAAGTTGCGTCCCTGCCAATATGTATTCCATATATAGTGATTCGCTTTGGAGGCATCTATTGACCTTGGAAACATATTTTAAAACCCAAATTTAATGCAAAAGTCACTTAAATATGTACAAATATAAATAATTGTTAATGCATAGACAATCATTTTTCAGATATCATGACTGTTATTGACACTTTTCTACTATTACGTCGGAGGCTTTTTAAAAATCATTTCCTAAATTCCTGACCCGGAAGTACCTTTTTCAGTGTTGTTAACAAGACGCTGATTGTGTGATGAGTTCGCAAATCAAATGCCCCGAATTGTGCTGCCACTGAACAGCAAAAGACAAGTAAGTTAACCTTTATTTATTGTAATTTAAATTAGTTGGTAGTAGTTAAGTGTTGAGTTAGATTACATACTGTAGCTACTTCAATCGTTATTTCAAATAATTTCAGTGACTTCACAGTAATTGCTAGCTAGCTCAGCTAAATACAAATCCCCCTAGATACAGCCATGTCTCATAGTCACGTCATGAGATTTGTAAATGAAGGAGGAATATAATAATACTAATTGAATGGAGTTTCTTATCTTCCCGGGGTACTGTAGTGTTTCTGGTGCAGCACAGAAATGCCTTTATCCAGATGATGTGACAAAGGCATTTCCTAACAGACCTGCTAACTTTCTTTGTTGTTACTTTAAGGTTGGAACCAACATGCAGTATCTCCAGCAGGAAGAGAGGCAAGAACCATGTGTTCTCCAGCTCAGGGACAAGCTACACTATTCACAGCCCTGTGTAACATTCAATGTACACTACATGATTAAAAGTATGTTCACACCTGCTCGTCGAACACCTCATTCATTGGCATTAATATGGAGTTGGTCCCCCTTTTTCTGCTATAACAGCCTTCACTCTTCTGGGAAGGCTTTCCATTAGATGTTGGAACATTGCTGCGGGGACTTGCTTCCATTCAGCTACAAGAGCATTAGTGAGGTCGGGCACTGATGTTGGGCGATTAGGCCTGGCTCGCAGTTGGTGTTCCAATTCCTCCCAAATTTGTTCGATGGGGTTGATGTCAGGGCGCTGTGAAGTTTTCCACACCGATCTCAACAAACAATTTCTGTATGGACCTCGCTTTGTGCATGGGGGCATTGTCATGCTGAAACAGGAAAGGGCCTTCCCCAAACTGTTGCCACAAAGTTCAAAGCACAGAATTGTCTAAAATGTCATTGTATGCTGTGGCATTAAGATTTCCCTTCACTGAACTAAGGGGCCTAGCCCGAACCATGGAAAATAGCTCCTCCACCAAACTTTAAAGTTGCCACTATACGTTGAGGCAAGTAGCGTTCTCCTGGCATCCGCCAAACCTAGATTAGTCCGTCGTACTGTCAGATGGTGAAGCGTGATTCATCACTTCAGAGAACGCGCTTCCACTGCTCCAGAGTCCAATGGCGGCGAGCTTTACACCACTCCAGCCGACACTTGGCATTGCGCATGGAAATCTTAGGCTTGTGTGCGGCTGCTTGGTCATGGAAACCCATTTCATAACACTCCCGACAAACAGTTATTGTGCTGAAGTTGCTTCCTGAGGCAGTTTGGAACTCAGTAGTGAGTGTTGCAACTGAGGACAGACAAATTTTATGTGTTACGCACTTCAGCACTCGGTAGTCCCGTTCTGTGAGCTTGTGTGGCCTACCACTTCGTGGCTGAGATGTTGTTGCTCCTAGACGTTTCCACTTCACAATAACAGCACTTACAGTGGCAGAACCGGGGCAGCTCTAGCAGGGCAGAAATGTTACGAACTGACTTGTTGGATGGGTGGCATCCTATGACTGTACCACGTTGAAAGTCACTGATCTCTTCAGTAAGGCCATTCTACTGCCAATGTTTGTCTATGGAGATTGCATGGCGGTGTGCTCGATTTTATACACCTGTCAGCAAAGGGTGTGGTTGAAATAGCCGAATCCACTAATTTTAAGGGGTGTCCACATACTTTTGTATATATAGTGTAATTACATTGCTGGACTTTTTGAAACTTAATGTATTTGTATTGTTTTACAAATGGAAATGTATGGTTTAAACATGTCTTTAATTTTATTTGTTTTAGCTGTTAGTGATAATTCCCTAAGTGTTAATACATTTGTGTTTACATCATTAAGCCTTTATTTATGTGTTATGAATGACCAAAGGTGTCTGACCTTATAGTAAGTGCAGAGTCATATGATACAAGGCATTTATGTATTTGTTATAAATGACCAAAGGGGTCTGACTTTAAATTAAGTGCAGCGTCATGCAATATAGAGTCTTTATGGATGTGTTATGAATGATCGAAGATGTCTCACTTCAAACTAAGACATAAGACTCCTGAACAGCTGACCAACTGGCTACCCGGGCTATTTGCATTGTCCCCTCCATTTTTACGCTGCTGCTACTCTCTGTTTATTATCTATGCATATACCTCTACCTACATGTACATATTACCTCAATTACCTCGACTAACCTGTGCCCCCGCACATTGACTCTGTACCGGTACCCCTGTATATAGCCTCGTTACTGTTTTTTTAAATATTTTTCATTTTATTTATTTATTGTGTACTTCAGTTTATTTAGTAAATACTTTCTAAACACTCATTTTTTCTTAAAACTGCATTGTTGGTTAAGGGCTTGTAAGTAAGCATTTCACTGTAAGGTCTACACCTGTTGTATTCAGCGCATGTGACAAATAAAATTTGATTTGATTTGATTTATTACAGGACACTACATGAAGTGTCAATAAATAGGATATTAACGTTCTGATGATTTATGAAGACTCTCTCATGATCCACAGGTTACTGTAGGATGTGAGAGGTATTTAAATGGGTTGATGGACCTGCAAAGCTTGCGTTTGTGTGTGTGTGTGTTTATCAGAAACAAGAAGATTTGGAGTAGTCCAACTTGAGACTACCACACCAAGTAGTCCTCTTCTGTTCCCATGCTGGAGACCAGGGTTTGATTACAACCTGTTACAATAGTGCCAACATTTTGTGGTTGATCTTTCAGCAGGGGAGTGGGTGTATGTGTCAATGACCTGACTGGGCTCAGCACCGCGTGGTACGGCTCGTTTTTGTTGTGTGCATGTTTGTGTACTGAGGAACGTGTAACTTGGTTCCAAAAGAAAGACACTTTCAATTTCTTTAGGTTGGGGGTTCAAGGTAAGTGTTTCTTGGTGTAGCGTTGTCCGCAGGCTATTGAACACACAGCACATATAAGCCTGGGATATCAACCATTCAAAGTTTGGCCTTAGTGGGAGTGACCATAGAATTCTATAGGAATGACCTTCCTGAGTAAAGTATTTGTTATCGTCACTACTTAACACAGTTAAAAAGTCCTAATTATTGCTAAACCCTGTCCATTTCTACAGTTTATCTTCTTAAACTTTTATTTTAAACCTAACCCTAACTAATGAAGGCCAAGTTTGATGCGTTGGTCCACCAGACCCTACGCGCATTTGGGCAGAAGTGTCTGGGAACGAGATTAGGTGTAAATTGACTAACATGACATCACTTTTATAAGCTGAACGTCATTTAAAGTGGGATCGAATAGGGTCCAAATATTGTACAATCCAGGTCTGCAAAGCTCTTAGACTTACCCAGAACGACTCACAGCTGTAATCGCTGAAAACATGTATTGACTCAGTGGGTTGAATACTTATCTAATCAAGATATGTTGGTGTTTTACTTTTCATATTTTATTTTACTTTTTTTACAAATGTTACAACATTACTCCTACTTGGACATTACAGAGCATTTTGTGTAGATCGTTGACAAAAAAATGACTATGAAATCCATTTTAATCCCACTTTGTAACACAACAAAATGTGAAAAAGGTCAAGGCATGAATACTTTCTGAAGGCACTGTATGTTCCAAAGAAAGATTGATAAGTGATGAGATACTTGTTATGCTTTGTCGACACAAATGGCCTATTCCCTATTTAGTGCACTACTTTAGGGAATAGGGTGCCATTTGTCATCACAACCCCACCACCAGCCAGATGCTCTTTAACCATAGCTCATAGCTTGGAAGCAACATTGTCTAATTGATTGGGTTTCCCACTGCCGTACAAAAAAACCTGATTGGTTCGTTAGGAAGGCGTTCGCACCAAGGTGCTCGGACGCTTGTGACTCCGATACAGCCGACTGGTGTTGGAAACTGGCAGGTTTGGGACAGAAATAAACTGTGAAACGGGAGGGAGGGAGAGGGGGGAGGGCGGAAGGGGGTATGTGTGTGCGGCTATTGCTGTAGCGGGAAAGAGAGCACAGCACTGGTCTTGGTATGGTGTTGGATGGTGGTGGTGATGACAGCAAGCAACAGAAGCACACACTAATTTAACTGTCCAAACAACTGTCCAAAAAAACACCTACAAATTCTATTCAATTTGGTGAAATGTGAAGTGGTACCCTCATTAAATGTTAATTGTATGAAACAGAAACAGACATTTTACAACGGTTTTAACTTCTGTGAAGGTCTCAGAAATATTTTGCTGTATGTAATGAATTCCACTTACGTTTGTGAGTATCTGAAAAATCTTGTAAATAATTGTCTATTCAAACTAGAAATCACTATGGACAGTAATTTGTTATTGGTTGATAATGGAACTGCCGCTGTAAATGAAAGACAATCAGAACAGCTCATGGGGTAAGTTTTGCCCTGAATCAGATAGACTCCTAATAAACCACCTTGTTGATCTCAATCTACAGCATACAGTGATTCAGTAATCACACATTTTTCACCAGATGATCAACTAAAACTAAAAAGTACAATAAATGACTAAATGGAAGCTGTTTCTGTTGATCCATTGATTTTAACTGAATCCCCATTCAGACCAGCTGACACCAGGAATAGAGACATTTATGAGTAGGCGTGCACTCTATGATAGGACCTGAACATGTGTGTATTACAGGACACACATATGTGCATATAGTGCTAGCATTTTCAGGAACTTATTTCAACTTCTGATGTAACTAACAACCATTTGCTTATTTCAGTGATCGAACGAAATAGTGGTGAGTGAGTAATAATAATATTTGGCAAATAAATACTGTATATAAATCTAGAAAAATATCAGTAATACCAAGTGTGTAGGCTATAGTCTGCCTTTAATAATGGGGAAAAAATGCATGATACAGTACATCAACTTTATTTTGATTATTCATCTTCCAATGAGCGAAACAAAAAAAGTATGTACTGTTATTTCCTCAAAATGTTTGGATCAAACAGCTCCAAAACCATGAGAACTATTCAATAATGTTGAAAATGTTATAATGTTTAATTTATATACAGTACCAGTCAAAAGTTTGGACACACCTACTCATTCTAGGGTTTTTCTTTATTTTTACTATTTTCTACATTGTAGAATAATAGTGAAGACATCAAAGCTATGAAATAACAAATATGGAATCATGTAGTAACCAAAAAAGTGTTAAACAAATATATTTTATATTTGAGATTCTTCAAAGTAGCTACCCTTTGCCTTGATGACAGCTTTGCACGCTCTTGGCATTCTCTCAACCACCTTCATGAGGTAGTCACCTGGAATGCATTTCAATTAACAGGTGTGCCTTGTTAAAAGTTAATTTGTGGAATTTATTTCATTTTTAGTGCGTTTGAGCCAATCAGTTGTGTTGTGACAAGGTAGGGGTGGTATACAGAAGATAGCCCTATTTGGTAAAAGACCAAGTCCATATTATGGCAAGAACAGCTCAAATAAGCAAAGAGAAACGACAGTCCATCATTACTTTGACATGAAGGTCAGTCAATCCGGAAAATGTCAAGAACTTTGAAAGTTTCTTCAAGTGCAGTTGCAAAAACCATCATGCGCTATGATGAAACTGCCTCTCATGAGGACCGCCACAGGAATGGAAGACCCTCCTGCAGAGGATAAGTTCATTAGAGTTACCAGCCTCAGAAATCGTCAATTAACTGCCCCTCAGATTGCAGCCCAAATAAATGCTTCACAGAGTTCAAGTAACAGACACATCTCAACATCAACTGTTCAGAGGAGACTGTGTGAATCAGGCCTTCGTGGTTGAATTGCTGCAAAGAAACCACTACTAAAGGACACCAGTAAGAAGAAGAGACTTGCTTGGGCCAAGAAACACTAGCAATGGACATTAGACCGGTGGAAATCTGTCCTTAAGCCTGATGAGTCCAAATTTGGGATTTTTGGTTCCAATCGGCGTGTCTTTGTGAGACGCAGAGTAGGTGAACGGATGATCTCTGCATGTGTGGTTCCCACCGTGAAACATGAAGGAGGAGGTGTGATGATGTGGGGGAGCTTTTCCTGGTGACACTGTCTGTGATCTATTTAGAATTCAAGGCACACTTAACCAGCATGGCTACCACAGCATTCTGCAGCGATACGCCATCCCATCTGGTTTGCACTTAGTGGGACTATCATTTGTTTTTCAACAGGACAATGACCCAAAACACACCTCCAGGCTGTGTAAGGGCTATTTGACCAAGAAGGAGAGTGATGGAGTGCTGCATCAGATGACCTGGTCTCCACAATCACCTGACCTCAACCCAATTGAGATGGTTTGGGATGAGTTGGACCGCGGAGTGAAGGAAAAGTAGCCAACAAGTGCTCAGCATATGTGGGAACTCCTTCAAGCATTCCAGGTGACTTCCTCATGACGCTGGTTGAGAGAATGCCAAGAGTGTGCCAAGCTGTCATCAAGGCAAAGGGTGGCAACTTAACACTTTTGTTGTTACTACATGATTCCATATGTGTTATTTCAAAGTTTTGATGTCTTCACTATTATTCTACAATGTAAAAAATAGTAAAAATAAAGAAAAACCCTGGAATGAGTAGGTGTGTCCAAACTTTTGACTGGTACTGAATATATATGTATATATATATATATATATATATATATATATATATATATATATATATATATATATATATATTTTAACTTGGCAAGACATAAAAAATAACAAAAATTATCCCAGGAAGAATATAATTTCTCCAGCTACTGATAATGATTGCCTTTGAAACCTTGATTCCTGGTGTAATTGTCTAGTCTAGAATGTTTAGTGAGAGGAGAATTACTCTCTTTACTAATAGCCTAGTTAACCGTACCTATTTGTGACTATGAATTCACGCTCTGTCCTCCTCAATGGTCTCATCAGTGTATTTCCATTAGACCCATGCAGGTTCAGAACAGTTTTAGAACAGCTTATGCATTGGCATGTTGCCCCAGGTTCAATGTGTTATGTCCCAGATATACAGCAGGTTGGGAGCAGGTAGAAAACCTAATCTTTGCCATACAGCAATACAGTTGCTAGGATGCCAGCGGCGAACCATACCAGACATATTAATATCCATACTGTTGTCTTAGACTCCTGTCTGACCCTTTCCGGCCCTCAGAACAATATGCATGTTTAACATAACATGATTATACATGCTTATATCTGTACAACAACTGTTATTTTAACAGAGAATGTAGGCTACATTCAAAACGTCAGTTATCAGATTTTCAGGGTAACGAATCTGCGCTAGATTTCTGTTAAAGAAAGAGGTGGTGAATTAATTCCATTACAGGTGTCAATCAATGCCAGTCTGATAGTCTAGCTGCTTACCTTGTGATGTGATGATCCCTATTTGTTCCAGTTAAAGTTCCCTTTCTCCAACTACTCTAGAACAGAGGTACAGAGGTTCCACGGAGGTTTTCCAGTTCCCCCTCTGCTCGATAAGGTTCTTTAGCCGAACTGTAGCATGTTCTCTGCTGGGTTCTGGCTAATTCTCTTCAGATCCTTTATGGGTAGAACCACTCCATCCGAGTGAGGCAGAACCGGAAAAACCCGCTGAGGTTCTTCATCTCGATCGGTCCTGGTCGTCACTGGTCTCTTTCTCTGTTCAGGAAAAGTGCCCGCACAACACAATGCAGTGACAGGACAGGGACCACCTGTTCCAACAAGACGCACTCGATAGGTGCCCTGGGTTCTTTCTGTGTCCTCTCTATTTCAGAAATAGGTAGATGGGAAAATTAGGAAGGAAAGGACCAGAACCCCCAAAGGTAACCTCGCGAGGTAACAATTTTCTGGAGAAAAAAAAAGCATGACATTCCGGAACGTTCTTTGGGGATCTCTCTCTCTCTCTCTCTCTCTCTCTCTCTCTCTCTCTCTCCTCTCTCTCTCTCTCTCTTTCTCTCTCTCTATCTCGCTCTCTCTCTCTGGAGGGATCCACTTGCTTAAATCAACGTTTCCCCCAACCTAGTCCAATCCATACAGTCACCCTCTCTTCTTTCTCTCTATCTCTGCTATCTGATCCAGTTCTGCTGCAGATCTCTCTCGCTCACTCACTGTTGCTCACCGCCCCCTCTCTCTCTACCTCCCTCTTTCTCTTTCTTTCTCTCCCTTTCCGTATGTGTCACTGTAGTTGGCATTTGCAGAATATGCGCTCGTCCGCTCCCAAAGAACTGCGTTGGCACTGAGAGGCAGCCTGATGCTCAGTGTACACACAAACAACTGAACACACATTAAGTAACACACATTTTCAACGGCCTTAACACCATACATAGACATATTCATATAATATCGCAGAATCCAAAACATACACAAGTTTATACACACACTTACACACACAGTCCATTACCTGCACTACCTGTTGCTGTAGTCATACATGTGTTGGTTGATTTCTTGTTGCCAGTTTAAATTTACATAGATTGCTGATGTTTGTTTGTGTGTGTTTGTGTGCATGCGTGTGCGTGCATATATGTGTTTGTGTTACGCCGTCACCTTGAAAACTGTCTTGGGGTTAAGGTGGAGTGGTCTTGTTCTATTAATATCTTACAGTAATCAAAGACGAGGGGTTGCGCCATAATTCTCAGTGCTGTATGAGAGTGAGTGTGTGTGTGTGTGTGTGTGTGTGTGTGTGTGTGTGTCTGTGTGTGTCAGTGTCGGTGTCGGTGTCGGTGCTAGGAGAGCTGTATCTGTTAGTAATCCCAGAGTGGCAACTGACTGGTAGTCTGGATTATATACCATGAGGAGCAGATTGTGCCACTGACAGAATAGGGCTCTACAAAACACACACACACACACACACACACAGAGACTCTAATAAGTCATGCCTGATCTCACAGTGTAATTAATCATAATCTCCTGAGTGTGTGTGTGCGCAAGCGAGTCTGTCTGTGTGTGAGATCAGGGGCAAAGAGAGAAGGAGTCTCTACAGTGAGTGAGTATTGGGCTATTTCAAATGTTATTTTGCTCACTGCATGTGCTATTTTTGTATGGGGAAAACCAAGCACAGTGGTGTGTGTGTGGGAAGGGTTAAACTAGTCCTGATGGGTCCCCCCTACCCCCTGTCCAGCCCTACCTTCTGCCTGCTATACCCCCTTTAGCACTTGTCTATCCCCTGCCCCCTGCTCCTTGTCTGCTTCCTAGCTACCCCGTGTTGACCCCTAATCCCTTTCCACCCCTAGCTATACCCTGCCAACCCTTCTACCCCCTGCCTGCCCCCTTACCCGCTGTCCACCCCCATACCCCTGCCAACCCCCCTCCCCCCTGTCCACCCCTACCCTCTTGTCCGCCTCCCTATCCCCTGTCCGCCCCCATACCCCTGCCAACCCCCCTCCCCCTGTCCACCCCTACCTCTTGTCCGCCTCCCTATCCACCGTCCGCCCCCACCGCCCTCCTCTTCACCCCCTGTCCGGGCGATCCCTGTGGATTATTTGACCTTTCTGGCTCAGTGGGGAGTGTTTGGGAGGTGAGGCCATATCCCAAATAAAAATGTATCCACAGTTGTTACACAATCCCCCTTACATAAGAGTGAGAGGGAACGCTGGAGAGCACAACTCCAGCTAGAATACAGTAAGGTTTCACATTATTATTATTATTATTTCACA